TTTCTAAAGCATGGCAAATATCATAAGCAGAATCACATGTACTAATACGATTAAATTCATTTCTATCTAAAGCACAATTAAGTATATTTTTTGCTCTAGCATTTAAAGACAATTTTCTTTTATCCTCTTTACTATATTCTTCTCTAGGTTTATAAATTATTTGATTGGGTTTACTATCCTCTTTAATAATATTTTTAGGCACGTATGGACCAAATTCAATAACTTCCCAAATATTATAATCTATTGATTGAATAAATATTGTCATTCTAGTCCTCCAATAGTTATAATTTGTACCATCAAAGAAAGTAGGATGATTTGTAAAATGCCCCTCAAGATTTTGAACAATATGGTAGCCATTCCTCAAGATTGTAGAATCTTAATTTCAAAGTGAGCACCTCACTTTAATACCAATTGAAAACCTAAGAACAGCTAACCAAGAGGGAGATGAATTGGTTTTTAAATCTTTTTCGAAAATTAATTAAAGTCTAAAAACAATGTACTAGCAAATGTAGCAATAAAATAAATACACACAAATATGAAATCAAATAAGGAAAATTAATGAACACAATAAAAAAGGGTAAATAGAAGGAGAGAAAATGCAAATGATTTAATAATGGAGGTTCAATCCTATGCAATGATCTACGATATCCGTCACCAAACTCTTCGGCATGAGCAACGCCTTTTCGCTAAATTTGATTGACTTATGGTGAAATTTAACCTTCTACAACACTTTCGGTGACTCATAAACAAAGACCATCAATTCTTATACAATGTTGAGCTTTACGGGACATCAACACGACCCACACTATTAAGTTTTATGGGACCTCAATATGCCTACACTATTGAGCTTTACGCGATATCAATATGACCTACATGGTGGCTTACAACAAGGAGCACCAATCCTTATGCAATGTTAAACTTTACGGGGTTTCAACACAACCTATACTTTATCAAAGTGTTTTACAATGGAATTCCTCTCTTGACAAAAAATACAATTTAATTACTAAGAGAGACTAATACTTCAATGAATAGCAATAAATGATAGTTCAAGGGTTAGATGAAAAATTTTGATGAATATGATAATTGAAAATTAGATTCAATCAATCAAAGTGATTCAATGTGAAGATGAAGAAGAAATAAATTCAATGTAAGTTTAAAAATCTTCTCAATATATCTTTCTTTTAATGAATGATTATAATAAATTAAGTACCAAGAAAGAGATGAGAAATGTAGATGAATATGATGATTTGCAAGTTTGATTCAGTCAATCAAAGTTTTCAATATGAAGTAGTAGAAATGATACAATGTAAGTTCAAAACTTTTTTTCAAAATATTTCTCTCTCCTATGAATGATAGAAATAAGTTAAGTACAAAAAGAAAGATAAAAAAACTTTGATGAAGATGATGGTCAAAGAGTTTAAATTAATAAAAAAATTGATATTAAGAAATAAATAAAATGAATGAAAAGGAAAGCTAAAAAAATTCTTAAAATAAAAATATCTCACTTTGATATACTTGAAAATATTATGAAGAATGGAAAGAGTGAGGATATTTATAGAGTTTAAAAACGTAAAAAAAATCCGTAAGTTCGGAAGACATGTCCGACCGATCGCATCTTGTCCGGATGACTAATATAGCCGTTTGTACAGTAAAAATCAGAGGTTAGAACGGTTAAATTTTGGATCGTTGAAGGGGTCCCGTCGATCGCCTCTTATGGCTCTTTGGCCAGTTGATCGCCCCAGCAGTGAATCTTTTTACGTTTTGACCATGTTTGTTCCGATTTGAAAATTTTGAGATACATGGACTTTTGAAAAGTGTTTTTCACTAACTTTTCAAGATAAAAAATGTTTTTAAAGTCTAAATATCAATTTTATAAGTTAATTTTATATTTGATCAACACGTTGTATTGGAGTAACTTTAGTAAATTTTGATGCACAAAATTTTGAGCTTAAACATTTATTGACAAATATCAAAGTGTTAGTACTCTTATATTTTATCTAAGAAATCAAGTCTTTGCTCCAAAGTTTGCCTCCTAGACTTCTCGTCTTGATCTTTCTTTGATGTCGTCTCGCATTCTCTTAATCTTGATCTTTCTCAACGTTTATCTTTTAAGCTCTCGTCTCGAATTATTTGACATAAATGCTTAATTCCACTTTGATCTTCATTTTGAGTCCAATTTATAATGCTTGATTGATTTTAACATTGAACATTATCACTCAAAATCAATTGTTAGAAACAATATTAATCTTGTTTGTTATAATTAAAATATTAAGGATGAAGTCAACCATAGATCAACACCTTTGAGCATAAACAACACCAAATTTCATGATGCCAATATATATACACATACTCATATATCTAGGTACAATAGTAGTTAGATCTCTTTGAAAATTGATACTGCACCAACTTTCTATTTTGATTTTGTACCCAAATTTTGCTTCATTTACCGAGATAAATAATTAATTGTACATTCAATTATCAACTACAGTGGCGTTAAGGTGCGAATGGATAACTGGGTGATGTTGATCGGAGGATATGGTGTGGTGTCGGTGTTGGGTGGATCTTTGGATCGATTTTTGGGGTGGGGTGGGGTAGGGTGAGTGTGGGACGTGGGAGAAAAAGAACAATGGTCTTCTTTTTCATTTTTTTTATTTTTTTTAATTACTATAACATCATTTTATGTTGAATAATTTAAAAGTACCATTTTACCCCTTTTACATTGGTCAAAAGAGGTCAAAAAATTTTTATGGTCAAGTAACGGTCAAATGGATGGATTCTATCCATTTTGACTTTAGGTGCAAATTTTTAAAAGATTTGATATCATGATTGGTACAAATAAAAAGTTTGGATCAAGTCTGCCACTAAATGAAAGTTTTGGTACCATGACTACAATTATCCATTTTTTAAAAATCGAAGGAAAGTTTTGAAGAAGTAAATAGCATAGAATTCAAAGCCAAAATTGTAGAGATCCAAAATGAAATTGGGCATTTCTTCTTGACTATGGATCATACTACCTTCAATAAACTCAAAATCTATAACCTCGATTGCTATGGAAATACCATTTTGTTGACCTATGCTTATTTGAACGCCTGAATAGTATAGCACCCACCTCTTAATTGGGGAGAACGTAGGTTCAAATTCCTACTAGATGCATGTCAATGGGAGTCTCTATTAAGTATATTGAGAACGGTTCTATATCATTGGAATCTCACCTTCCATAGCTGATCTCCATCTTTACATAATGGTCATTAGATAAGCTACGAATTCGAGTCAGGGATCTTTTTCCAGAAATTGATGTTTTCGTCAAATTCCCAATCCCTTTTGATGTTCTAGACACTAAATCCTTGCCAAGACCTTTTTGATACGAGATCAGCCAGATTTCATTCGGACTCCACATGTTGGCTTGAATTATTACATCAGTCAAGATCTCTCTGACATACGATTAACATACTAGACTGAATTACCTGTTGTAAAATTAGTTGTAACTATTGTAGCATGACAAGCTTATTGTCACAATTGTCTAGATCGACAACAATTGCTCCATATCGGTACTTCTAGCAATAGTTTTTAATTGTCATAAACCTCTAGGGATGTTTGTGTAATATGCTTGTGCCAATTTTAATATTAAACATTTCAAACTTTTTAAGGTTTCTATACACTTACGTGATAGCTTTGTCCAATTAACTGGTAACATGTGATTATACATGTCATACGTAGTTATATGCCTCATAATTTACATTCACTCTATTAACTTTCTTATCATTATTATTATTATTTTTTCAAATCACCTACTTAAATGACTATACGTCCTTTATGTCAAATTTAAAAGTAAGAAAAAAGTATAAAAGAAAGAAATAGAACAAATGTTAATTATGATACATATGATCGCATGTTATCAATTGAATGGATAATCTAACTACATGATCATAAAGTTCTTCTTTAGTATAATACCATCGATATTCTATAGTATATATAGAGTTCCGCACCAATACATTTCCAAACATAAATGGGTTAAATTTATCAATGGCTACCCAACTTTAAACTTATATCACTATGATCACCAATTTAATTTTATTTCACCATAGCAACCAAATTTCATATAATGTTTTATCATGACCACCCAATTTAGGTAACATTTACCCATCCAATTTTTTTTTTATACTTTTTTTATTTGTTCACCATTTTCACTAATTTTAAAAGAAGTAGAATGGTAACTTTGCATTCTGTGTATAAAATAAATTAAAATAAAAACTTATTTAAAAAATGTTACTTAAAAAAATAAAATAAAATAAAAACTTATTTAAAATATGTTACTTAAAAAAATAAAATAAAATAAAAACTTATTTAAAAAAAATCCTTAAAACAACTTATTTTATATTTAAAAAAAAAAAGTTACTCAGAAAAATAGCATAATATAAAATGTTATTTGAAAAAAAATGTTCCTTTAAAAAAAATAATAAAAACTTATTCTAAAAAAGAATTTACTAAAAAATAAAATAAAATAAAATAAAAACTTATTATGAAATTTTAAAAAAAAGTTCATTTTTTAAAAATTTATTTTATATATATAATACAAAGTTACCATTTTACCCCTTTTAAAATTAGTGAAAATGGTTAAAAGAAATATGATGGCTATCGTAAAATGTTATGATGCCATGGTGAAATATCATATAAAATTGAATGACGATGATGAAATGAAATAAAATTAAATCGCCATAGTGACACTAACTATAAAGTTGAATGGCCATTAGTAAATTTAGCCTAACATAAATATATACACATAATGGACATATTCCTTTTAGTGGTATGGAAAACATGTATCTGCCATTATTACCAACTAAAAATAGATTTCGTCTCTAATTATTGTTAAATTAGATTGCACCTTGTCACTTGTCATTCATTGAAATTTCATAAAGCAAACGTAGTAGAAAAATGGCATTAATTCAATTTCATCATAAAATTTCACGCAATGGGATCGTGCACATTGAGAAACACGAGGATACGGGCACGATTAAAATCGTCTTCCTATTTGTTCATCAACAATAATTCATATAATGAAATGTTAGCATTTTGGTGGGGGTACAGCTGAAGGGAAGGCCAAATGGACCCAACAGATCACAAACTCCTACGTCCACAGTTTAGGAAGTCGATCAGAAAAAATACGACGGAGGTTTCTTTGACTATGCAGCTCGGCGTTACCCGGGCAAGCATTTTCAAGTAACTCGAAAAAGTAATCTACCACATTTTTGAATTGTCAAAAACATCATAATTCTCAGATTCGGGTGAAAAACATATATACTGAGTAACAAAATAAGTTTAAGCAATCCTGTGAAACACTAATCCCAAGCACTGGTCATTCCAGAACCATATCCCCCACCACCATAATTGCCATAATTTCCACCACCTCCACCACCACCACCACCATAATAATCTGAGCCGCCTCCGCTCCGATTATATGAGTTATCTCTTCTAAAATCACGACCACCAAAACGCCCACCGCCACGCCTATTTTTACCTCCATATGGAGCTCGACTTGCATAGCGAATCAGCCAATCAGGTACCTCCTGATTGGCTTCCTGCATCAGATCAGCTAGTGGCTTTGCTAGTGATAAATTACTCTCATTGAAGAAAGCCGTGGCCAGTCCTGTTTTACCAGCACGACCTGTACGTCCAATTCTGTGTACATAATCATCGATGTCATTGGGGAGGTCAAAGTTGATCACATGAGCAACGTGAGGAATATCTAGACCACGAGCTGCTACATCTGTCGCAACCAAAATCGGTGTGTTTCCACTCTTAAATGATCTCAATGCTAGTTCTCTTTCCTGCAACAACAGGGTCGATCAAAGTTGGATCAACTTAATAATCAATGTAGGAGTGATGAAACAACTACACAACTAAAAATAAAAGGATCAATATAGTCGAGAGGATACCCTCAAGTTGCCAACTTATATTACATCGAGTCATTGACTAGATAGGACACGTATAATAGACGAGGATCCACATGGCAACACATGCAAAAATTATGCGGACGCATCAATGCTCAAAAGTTGTATTGCTCCATGGTAATACCACTTCCTAAAAATTTTAATGAATTTCATTCAATCTGTAACCATGAGTGCACATTATAACAGTCTCTCACTTGACGTGATTAGGTAGTGATTTTTAGTGATTATGGTCAGCAACATCATAAGCTATCATGAAAGTGGGTAACGAATTATTGGAAAGCACTGATTTACTAAAATCAAATTACATAGAATGCTGCTCTTTAAGTCCCAGGACATGTCAAAGACCAAGCAAATTTGCATCTAATGGGCAATTTGTTAGAAGGTCTAGCAAGGATCAAGTTATTTGCTTCGGAATTGTAACTACCATGGAACACAGCATAGGCACATCATGAATCACCTTATTTCATTTCAAGGCGTCAATGCTACACAAGAAACTAAAGGTGATTCTGCAAGTCAAATTTTAAAGCATCTTCCCCTTATTGGATTGGCGATTAAAATCTTCAATCCTTTTAAGCAGAAACTCGCTAGATTTATGCAAAAATAAATCCACAAAATAACACAATTATGTAAGTGTACTAATGTGTGTTTACTGCAGATGGTTCTTTAAGATATTCGTCAGCTCAAACACATGTAGTCACTCTTCAGTTAATTATCTGAATTTAAAACATAAAAACCATACTTCAATAGACACTTCAAATTTTCAGAATTTCAAAACCAGAATAAGCTCCTGGGTAAGGATTAAAATCAAAATTTTAGTAGATTTTGATAATAGTCATTGAAATGTGTGGTTGAAAAGTTGTGGGTCCCATAAGACGTATGGTTAAAATTAGTTGTTGAATAATTTGAATTTGAATTTGTATTAAACATGACGTAGAAGTCCAGATAATGCATGTATATAAACCACCAAATCAAAATGGCCACGAAAATGTCCCAGTAGAACCAAACAGAAAACATCCAGCTAGTAACTACTAGAAAATCAATTTCATCATTGCTTACTTGTTGTGTTCGATCACCATGGATTGTTGTAGCAGGAAAACCATTACCATACAACCAATGTTCCAATGAATCAGCTCCTTTCTTTGTTTCCACAAACACTAAAGTAAGAGATTGCTGCACACATTTATCACAATCAGAAACAAATTTTCATCTTGACATAAATAGCAAATTAAATAAATCAGAAAAGATATTGAAGATTTAGAAAGCTTAAGACAAATATATAAACAGCAAATTAAATGGGTGAAGAATAGGAATTACTGAATTCCTATTTAGGCTCTACACTGGAGAAATTTACGGTACACTCAACATCACGCGTGCTGCAGAGAGCAGGAAAGGAGGTCTAGATAGAAGGGGGGAAGTGAAGGTGTTATGATTGAATAGTAAACAAAAGCCATCACAAATCTCAATTATGGTCAAGTCATACAACTATATAAATAGCATAATCAAACAAAAGTAAATTGGTATGCATGCATCCATCGGAATATCATTAACTACCTTTCCATGAATTCCGTCGGCCTTCTGCGCATGAAGAAGATCCATCAAATAGCTTCTCTTGTCATTCTCGTAAACAAATTCAACTCTTTGGACAATTAAGTCTGTACTTGAACCAACCCGTCCAACGGTCAAAAATATATAATTGGAAAGAAAATCAGATGCCAATCTCTGCATAGCAACAATCAGAAGTTCAGAAGATTACTATTAGCTAACAACGTAACAATCTTCAGCAAGAGTATAACATTCCTTCCCATAACCTCAATTGCTTAATATTGTAAACACCGAGCAAGTAAATAATTCATGGCACCAACATAATGACGCTCAAGAATCAAATATATCTTTGTTTTAGTTTTAAGATGCTCGAGGAGCATTTCCTTTAAGACGACTCTTTTCCGTTGTTCTGTCCAAAACTAACATTAGGTTCATTACTCATACAAGTCAAAGTTAGAAATGATGAAACCTTGTAAATAACTTGATGTCACAAAACAAGGAAAATTTTGTCACAGTTAAATGCAACCGTCAGCATCTAATCACTGCCCAAGACAGCCAACAATAAACTGCATTGTTAATATGTGAGTTTCTTCATTAAAAACTTCTAAGGACAGTTTCAACCTCATAAATCTCATGTTACTTCAGGACAAAATGGGAAAAGAAAAATCAAATGACAAAGGGAAAGACCTCTATAAATAGTACAGCAAATCCAAAGTATAGCAATAAATAAAATCATCTACAACAAAAACCTGTATCTCTTTTGGAAAGGTGGCACTAAACAGCATTGTCTGTCTTTCACCACGAGGAGGCATATCCATTTGTTCCACTATCTTTCTGATTTGAGGCTCAAAACCCATATCCAGCATTCGATCTGCTTCATCAAGAGCCAAATATCTAATCATCTGTAATGAAACTTTGGCTCTCTCAAGCAAATCAACCAATCGACCAGGAGTTGCCACCAGAATATCAACTCCTCTCTCCAGTTCACGCAGCTGCAAAAAAGTTAATTAGCTGCAGGACCACTTTGTAAATAGTATCTCTACATTGTAGCAAAAACCCCATAAAATCAATAGAACATTTTAAAAGGGCATATAAAAGGTGACTAACTATTTATAGGATACAAATCTCAAATGTCACAAACAATAATTCTTCTTATTAAACGCTATCTGCAAAATAGATCTTTGTCGTCAATTTTTTTACATGTTTCTAGCTTCAAATCCATTAAAACAAAATTGAAGCAGATTGATGCTGTCAAACAGAAAAATAAATCGAGTCATACAAGAAAAGAAGGTAAAGGGAAGAGATTTCACCAATGTTCTTAGGCTTCTTAGCCCACCAATAAAACATCGAAGAAAAGAAAGAATGGGTGGAGGTAGAAACTCACATAAAAGAGAATAGCTTTTGACAATTAAAAACCAACATTTATGACGCTATATGACTATATCACTTCTGATACAAATATATTATACTATGCCATGGAATCTCTAATAAGAAATAGTTGATATCTCGAAAAATGTTTATAAAATCAAAATTGTGAATTGTGAATTCTCAATAAGCATGACATTTGAAAGAACTGTAATTGCTATCATGTTCCTAAAGAAGAGGCACATGGTAAATTAATGGTCAAACGCATCACATTCCTCCCAACTAAGAGACAAGATTAATATTGATACGAAACTTGGATGCATCATGAACTCCCAAGGCCAACACAATATCCTAATTAACCCGAAAAAAATAAAAAAATAAGGACGCAGAAGTCAAGGTAAAGAGACCAGAAAACTAACAAAATATTCTTTGATCTAATGCAGATGGCATATACGTTGTAAAATTGTCATTCAAGATCAATTGGGTTTTAAACCAAAATCTAGTGTATAGATATGATAGCATATGCAGCAACTTATTTCAGGATTACCGGGGAATATAAGATGTCAGAGTAAAGAAAATATTTACCTGTAATGCTGATGTAAATTGTAGTTTTTTAATTCAATTATATAGTTTTAGGCTCGTGAGTCCAGGAAGAGGATACGTAAATTAATAGCTTTGGAGAGACGTTTTTGGAATCTCATGGAACCAATGTGCCTATTTGAGCAAAAATTAAACATATGGAGATTGGCAAGAATGGATAGATCTCTTGACAGCACAAACTTCAGAAATCATAACTTGGAGATGGAAAATCACATAAATGAGAAAATCCTGACTGAAGCTGACCTACAAAAGTTCTCTCTTCTTATACTTGCCTTATGGAGTATATAAGGGCAGAAATAGATAAAATTTAACTTTACAATATCCAAAGAACCTATTTTAGAAATGAGATGGTCATGTTCTAACAGAGGAGAGTGACAGTTAAAATAACATAGTAAAATAAATATTTGTAGAAAATCATCGTAATCATAATAAATTTGTATAACAATATACATTAAGAGTTTATAATATTTGTGATTCTACAATATTTTGGTGTTTTATATTAGAGTAACCTTATAAAGGTCGAACTGAAGTTGTACAAAGGATCACTGCAATTTAATTAGAAAATTCGTTAATACAGAGCTTGACTTTTATCTTTATATACATAATATAGTTAAGCAATGCAAGTAAAAAGTTTCTCGTTTTTTAAGTCTCTATTTGAGCCCTACTTTTGGGAGATAGATTCTTTACTAGTACATTTTTTTGAAGAATGTGTAGTTAAAAAATAGGAAAAAATTTCAGATTTATGTGAAATTATTTTTATTGAGAGAATGTATGGTTGAAAATGAGTTTAGAGGAATTTGAATTTTCCAAAAATGCAGCTCATGGGCTTAATCCTATGTTATCCCATTCCAAAATTTTACAACTCCGCACTTTTTAAGAATTTTATCAGCAGGAAATTATGTCCAAAACTAGGTCGTAAAAAGCATATCAAGTAGTTGCAAGTTGTTGACAAACGCATTGAGTAGTCAAATTAACCTCCAAGTGTACCTATCCACATTTAACTCTGAAATATGATTTGACCACAAAATAGAAATTGAAAAACATGAAAGGAAATAATGCTGGAAGGAGAACATGACGTGTTCAAACAACATTGTGTGATGTGTCTTGGTGCTTCAGGAAGAAAACCTGCTGATTTATTGGCGCCCCTCCATAAGCCACCACTACTCTGACACCAGTTTGATAAGAAAACTTTCTAGCTTCATCATGTATCTGCATGTTAAATGCAATGCATCGATTGTGAATTCCAACTCGAAATTTTAAAAGTCAAAATGCAAAAGTATTAGGCAAAACACTAATGTCCATTAAATAACAGACCTACCTGCATTGAGAGTTCTCTTGTAGGTGAAAGAATAAGAGCAAGTGGAAAAACAGTCCGCACTCCTCGTGGTCTTTGTGGAAAATGGCCTCGCATAATTCCACTAATAACTGGGAAGCAAAAGGCAGCTGTCTTACCAGATCCCGTCTGAGCACAAGCCATCAAGTCTCTTCCTGCTAGAGAAATGGGTATTGCATATCGCTGAACAGGAGTTGGCTTGACATACTTACACCTCCGAATATTCAAATTCAGTGCTTCACCCAAATCTATCTCAGCAAATGCATTCACGGGCAGAGGCACATTATCCCCACTGGTCTCCACAGGGATATCCTCGTAGGCATCAAAGTTTATACCTGAATTCTCCTGCTCCTCAAATGCACGTTCCGCATCAGTATCCACATCATCATCACCAAAAGGATTCACCTCCCGTTCCCTGACACCCCAGCCACTTCTTCCACCCCAGCCGCCACTGCTACGGCCTCCACCATGTCCCTGACGTCCATGGTCAGACCTTGGATCACCCCATCGAGACCCACTTGTGGGTATGCCATACTTGGACCTATCACTACCAGATGGTGGGCCACTAAGTGATGAAGCAGGAGGCTCCGAGGCTGGAGGCCTGTTCCGAAGATGAGGTGGAACGTAGGTTGGCTTGGTGGAAGCAGATGCACCTTTGTTCCCAGCACTGGTGCCAGAGTTATCAGAAGATCCAGTCTCAACAGCGTCTGCCCATGAAGTCATTTTCCAAAACGAAATCTTTAAAATCTCTTTACCCGGCCTAAATTTCAGCAATACCAAATTTTCAATCCAATTTGAAGAGCGTTTCAAACATATCCAAAATTCAAACCCCTGATTGGAAAACACGCAAGGAGAAAAATATAATCAGCAGAAATCATAAAAACCAAAACAAAACACTTTAAACCACCAAAACAGCTATTTTCGCGTCCATCTATTACCTAAAAAATAAGAACGAAAAAAATAAATAAATGAAACGCCAGCTCCAGTTATTTGCAAGAAAAAATAAACTATAGATTTAATACTAGATGAACCGAATCAGAAGTTCAAAATATCAGGTTCTCCGGATGCATAGGATTGTTTACAGTAAAAGATGAGATCGGTTGTGGCACTTCAATATTAACAATTCCTTGTCACAATTGCCCTTATACAATGCGTGTAAATAAATTCATACAAACGTCCAAGCGTGTGAGTGTGTAACTATGGAAAGAGAGATGAACCTGAGAAGAGATTGTCTGATAACGAATTTTGAAAACCCTAGCTTTTGAGAGAGATGAGAGACACTTTCGAGAGAGAGGAGGACTAGTTGTGCATAAAAAATACGGACAAGAAAGCTTAAAAATCGGCTGTCCATTTTTTACCCCCATTTTTGCATATATGGTCCCTGTTGTTTTCCCTTGTTGCTGGTTGAGTACCTAATATTCCATTTTGGCAGTGACATCCCCATTCAACCTTTCATGGGCGGAAACGGTCATTCCCATCCAAGTCCTTCCCATTCTCCCGTTACTGGGTCACCTACAATTCACTTCCTTATTGGTAAAGGTACTTTTTCCCATATACTAGTTGGTTCCATCCTAAATGCTTAATACTAAGGGGCTGTTCTCTTTCCCGTTTTCAAGTCGTTTTCTATTTTCAATTTTTCAAAACGATGAAAATGCGTTCTTTTTCCTATTTTCGAAAACCAGTTTTTGAAAAAAAAAAAATGAATTACACTAAAAACACAAAACGACTAAAAAGATGTTTTGGACGTTTTGAAGCCAAAACCATGAAAAAGTAGAAAACACGGGAAATGCCTACATTAAAACCCACTCGTGACCTTCTCTCTCAGATATTCTCTCTCTCTCCCCGTCTCCTGTAAGATCCGTTCCAGTATCTTCTAGGGTTTGCTCTGCCTTCGCCCAAACAAGTCCGACGAATAGCTACACTCACCGATTTAGCTCCTCAGAACACCTGAGAAATTGCGTGAAGAGGTGAAAATTTCTGTCAAAATTTCTCATATTTTGTGCAAATTTCTGTCAATTCAAGCATCTGCGGCTTCCATGGGGTAGGGAACTAATGCCTTCTTCTTGTGGGTTTTTCATTTTAGCTATGATATCATATTGCTCGCTGAATGAATCTTTTTATTGCTAGAATTTTGCACCTTTCTTTTGCTGTTTTACTTATAAATGGTTTAGTTCCATTGCTTTTTCTAGGCGTGCGTGTGTTGTGCCGCGGGGTGGGGAGATATTAATCAAATTAGCGATTGAGTTAGCCATGGAAATGATTTCGTAATCTTTCGCAATTGAGGATTCTTGATAATATGAGGCACGATTATGTTGCCTATGACTGGATACAGGATGAATGCAACAGATATTTAAATTTATGTTGAAAGTTTCCAAGTGTTTGATAGAAGTCCCCAATGGCTTCATCTTTTTTATTTTTATTTTTTACTTTCACTCTTCCATCGTTTTAGTTCATTTGCTTCCTAGAATACTATTCTGACTGATGAATCACTAGACAAAAAATAATAACCCACCAATGTTTCTAAGAGCTGCTATCCTATGCTTAGTTCGTCAACCCTGATTGTCTCTTTAATCTCAAAACTCTGCAACTTCTGTCCATCATCTACCCATCCTTTGATCCATCTCGGGATGTTTTTGGTAGAAGAGGAAATGGTTGGAAGCTTGTAATTGAACTGCTCCTTTTTATTCCATTTTGGCTTTTTGATAGAATCTGAAATGAAGTCCACCATTTCAAATTAAATGGAATGACGTCCCGACAATCTTGCTCTACTTTTCTACTGTAGAATTCTTGAATCTGGCTTTAGATCTTTATATTTTGGCAGCATATTATAGGACAGCATTATGCTAGTGCAAAATAAAATCTGTCTGAAGTTCAGTGCTTGGGCTACTTTTAGCTTATTTTCTTTCCAATAATTGTTTCATGCTAATTTAGTGGGATGCTTCAACCTTAGCTGATTCTCTGTTGCTTGAGCATTTTCAGTGGCAAGTCTGAAATTGTAAGTCTTGCTGGACCTCGCTTAAGGCAAGTTCCCTTTTATGGACTGATCTTATGAAAGGAAGGTTCTAATAACATGATTAATTGGTGCCCTTTTCTTTGGGCAAGGCCGTGGGTTTTCTTTTCGTTTCTTTCCTCTTTTTTTTTTCAACTTTTAATTAGTAAATTTGTTCTATTACATTAGTTTCATGAATATATTTGTCCTCCTGTTATTTTTCATTAGATGTTATAGGTGTTAAGGTTCCAATTTATATCCTTGAGTTATTGGAATTTGTTGTCTAGCAATCCTTTACAATGGATTAAATTGAAACTTCTTTTACCTAATATAAATAAGTGGATGTGGGTATAGATTGCAGGGGATGTGATTTTTCTTGTTGGATTGGTACTTGCTCTCTTGCTTCTTCAGTTCCAAGAGTCTCTTTACTTGAAACATTTACAATAATTTTTTTTTTCATCCTTCACTAGCGGTCATCAGTATATCTTCATAATTTTATGTGATTATAACTAAATACATTAATCTATTTTATATGTGATTATAATTATCATCTACTGGATATAGTAGGGAGACCATTGTTTTATATTTTACTTACTATTGCAATTTTCTAAAATTGTAATAAATGTAATACTCTACTTATTTCCTAATAATTTGATGTATATAAATATAGCTCCTACATGGGTGGTCACAGAGTTAGGAATAAGGAACCAATGTCATGGTCGGACGAGAATGAACACACTTTCATCGAAATTCTTTATGAGAAAGTGAAATCAAATGTATTGCAATGTTCAACATTCACGAAAGACGAATGGGGCAGGATCAATGAAAACATGATAGCTTCAACAAAAATGGATTACGGGATAGATAGATTAAAGGGAAAGTGGAACCGCTTACGTAAGATTCATCGCATGTTCTCTGAACTTTTGGGACATACAGGGGTTACATGGGATCTAAATACCAACAAAGTTAATGCTGCTGAGGAAGTTTGGCAACACTTTTATACGGTACATGTATTTATTAAAGGATATTTTCGTCATTATTTTTTTCTTATCAAATTTATTTTTTTATGTTCAACAATTTGACAATGTGACTTCTTTTCCAATGGCAGATTAATAGGTCGGATTACAAGATGTTCAAGAGGGAAGGATGTAAGCACTACCACACTCTTGGGGAGATATTTAGTGGGACTACAGTTACTGGAGGATTATGCAAAGCCTCCACTCAGCTTCCAAACACATCAGAGGAAGAAAGGCAACTAGAAAATGATTTTTTGAATAGGGGAGTGCATGTACATGCAGAGAATGATGATGAAGTCGATGTGGTTTCTGATACTCGTCGACGTAACGAAATTGGAACATCAGGTGAACGATGACGTAAGGAACCTAAGATCAGTAAAAGTGATAAACTTGAGGCATGCATGGCACAATGGTCATCTACAGTTAGTATGAGGAATGAAGAAACTGAACTTAGAACACTTTATCTGAAAGAAAAGCTTGCAAAGATTCAAGGAAAATCAAGTAATCAGTCAGATGTTGAAGTTAACAGTCCGGATCCTTATTCAAATGTCATTTGCATGGACATCTTAAACGATATTGAAGGGTTGTCTAATGAGGTTTATATGAAAGCAATACAGGCTTTTAATGATCCTAATTTCAGGGTGTCATTTGTGAAGATGCCAGAAGCAAGGAGAGGACCTATCTTGGAACTACTTTGATGTGA